ACAAGGCAATGGCGGCCTTGTTGTCGACGTACAGCACTGGAGGAGAACGAGGCCGCTCTCCCAAGTCGGTCAGCAGGTAGGTGAGCCAGCGTAACTCCTGTGCAGCCATGGCTATGACGTAGATCTCAGCCTCACAACTGGAGCTGAGAACCGAAGACGAGCGTGTAGAACGCCAAGAAACTGAACCAGACCCAAGGCTGAAGGTGTAACCCTGTGACGACCGCTGTGTAGCCTGGTCGTCAACCCAAGAAGCGTTTGAGTGCCCAGTGAGGACAACTACGCTCCGCCCTCTAAGCACGAGCCCCATGCCCGATGTACCGCACAAGTAGCGCATTACCCTCTTCGCAGCATCCATGTGCACCTTTCGGTGCCGACCAGGAGCCACGTAGCGAGCCAGAAGGCCAAGAGGGTACGCAAGGTCAGTTCGAGTGCAGGTCATCAGGTACATGAGGCAGCCAACTAGCTCTGGATACGGGCCACTCGGCTCTACGGACTCGTCCGAAGGTGGAGCTGAGAGCGAGTGGCCTGTAGCCAGAGGAGTGTGCTGTGGCGAGGACCAGGTGAAGCCGAAGCGCTGAAGGACCTGCTGCACCATGTGTGACTGAGTCAGTATGATGGTGCGTCGTGCTCTGTCCCGGGTGATCTGCAAGCCAAGGTAGCTGCGCAGTTCACCCAGGTCTGAGCACGTGTGTCACTTCTGCAGCTCCGACTTCACCAGGGCGCAGCACGTCACGAGGCAAGGCAGGCAGGCACAAGGACAACACGTGGGGTAGCGCGGTAACCGCAACGGTAGGTGGGCCCGAAAAAAAAAACGGTCCTACAGACCTAGTGCTCTGAAACCATGTTAGAATCTGGCAGTAGGAAATGGATGAACTATGAAAGAGATGGGTACAAATATAGAACCCTAAAAGGGGCTGTACCCCATATTGGCTACCCCACTACAGCCTAAGCATATATAGCATTTGACACTTCGAAATCACTTGAGACTTGAAACCAAGGCTCTAGTTCTTCACCATAAACTCATCCTTGAGTTCTTGAAAGTCCGCTGCAAACACCTGCGACACGCCGAACGTTCCATACACGACAAAATAGAAATTGCACATGACACGCAAACGACGACGTGACACGCGACTAGCGATAGCTCGTGATTGACTCGACACACACATTTGACATCATGACTCATTATTCACACACTATTATATGCATGAAATATGTATTATCTCATGCCTTCATACCATTCCAGGCACACACGCATGCACGCATAAGGACAACAAGCCGAGTGCACACCGTAGGGTTGCACCAACAAACTCCCCCTTGGATTGTTGGCCTTAGAATCTGCCCCTTTCAGTTCAGAGCCATCCTAGCTAGCTTGCAACAGTTCCAATGCTGCTGCTCCACCAGCCTTTTGGTCATCGTGTCAGCTGGTTGCGCCGTCGTCTTCACGTAGTGCAACTCAACTTCACCCGTGGCCACCATGCTCCTCGTCTAATGCCATTTCACCCTCATGTGCTTGGTGAGGCCGTGCAACACAGGGTTCAAGCAAGTGCAATGGCACCCTGGCTGTCACAGTAGAGTGGGGGTCCTTGCTGCTCCTCCCCCAATTCAGCCAACAAACGCCGCTGCGAAACAATTTCCCATACAGCACAAAAGGGTCCCATGTACTCGGACTCCACCGAGCTCAATGCTTGGTCAACCTGCTTCTTGCCTTTCTCAAGCAGTTGGGCCTCCACCAACACAGCAAATGAAGACTCCTACGCTTGTCATGTCATCTGGTTCGGATGCATAAGAAGCACCAGAGAATGCGGTGAGAAACAAATGCCCGGGTTCAACGCCATCCGCGCCCTTTTGGTGCCTTTGCGCCGCCGCCGTATATTGCAGCCCAGCCGTCGCAGTTTGGCCAAGATGCTTGGCCACCCTCATTCCAGCTACTATCTGCTCCTCATTAGGGCATTGAACAACCCCAGCCAGCTTCCCTAGGGGCTTGCTTGAGCCCAAAGAGGGCCTTCTTTAGCTTGGACAACTCTGCCACTACCATCATCAAACCCCTTAGGCTGCACCATGATAATCTCTTCCTCAAGAACGACGTTAAGGAATGCCGTTGTCACATCCATTTGCTTCACGACCCATCCTTTGATGGCAGGCCCCGCAAGTAGAGTTGGCAGCATCGTCGGCTTCACCACAGAAGCAAACAACTCCTTTAAGTCCACCTTCTCTTTCTGATGGTACCCCTTGGCCACAAGCCTAGACTTGTAGTGCTCGATTTTGCCGCCGGCGTCGGACTTGATCTTGAAGAGACACTTGGACATTATCGCCTTACGCCTCTCTAGTAGCTCCACCAATTCCCACGTCAAAGGTCAGTATAATGGATGTTGCTTTGGCGGGCAACGGTACTTAGCGGCCGTGCCGCAAGGGGGGCAGCGGCGGTGGCTTGAGCTGCAGCGGAAGCGGCTGTAGCAACAGCAGCGGCTGCAGCTGCAGCGGAAACGATGGTAGCAGCAGTGGCGGCAGCTGCAATGGCAGCAGCAGCACTTGCAGTGGCAGCGGCGGCGGCTGTGGCTGCATCGTCGGCGGCAGCTACAGTGGCAGCGGCGTTGGCTGTAGCGGTAGCGGCGGCCGCGGCAGCAGAGGCGGCAGTAGAGGCGGCGATGGCGGTAGCTGTAGTGGCAGCTGCAGTGGCAGTGGCGGCTAGTGTAGTGGCAGCGGCGGCGGCTGCTGTAGCTGCAGCGGTGGCGGTTATATCTGCAGCGGCGGCAGCAGCGGTGGCTGTAGCGGTAGCGGCGGCGGCTGTAGCGGCAGCGGCGGCGGCTGTAGCGGCAGCGGCGGCGGCTGTAGCGGTAGCGGCGGCGGCAACTGTAGCGTCACTGGCGGTAGCAGCTGTAGCAGCAGCTGCAGTGGCAGCGACGGCTGTGGCAGTGGCAGTGGCGCCGGCTGTAGCTGCAGCGGCGGTGGTTGCTGCAGTGGAAGGGGCGTCGGCTTGTAGCGGCAGTAGCAGCGTCAGCTGCAGCGGCAGTGCTGGCGGCTGTAGCGGCAGAGGCGCCGGCAGCTGTAACGGCAGCTGCAGCGGCAGTGCTGGCGGCTGTAGCGGCAGAGGCGCCGGCAGCTGTAACGGCAGCTGCAGTGGCACCAGCGATTGTTGAAGTGGCAGCGGCGGCTGCTGTGGCTGCGGTGGCGGCGGCAGTTGCAGTGGCAGCGGCGGGTGTGGCTGCAGCAGCGGCGGCAGTTGCAGTGGCAGTGGCGGCGGCCATGGCAGCAGTAGCGGCGGCAGCTGCAGCGGCAGCGGTAGGCTGTAGCGGCTAGGGCGGTGGCTGCAGTGGCGGCTGTAGAGGCAAGGGCGGAAGCTACAGTGGCAGCAGTGGCGGCTGCAGCGGTGGCTGTAGAGGCAGGGGCGGCGGCTGCATTGGCAGCAGTGGCGGCTGCAGCGGCAGCAGCGGCTGTAGCGGCAGGTGCGGAGGCTGCGGCAGAGTCGTCGTCTGCATCTGTAACAGTGGCGGCGTCTTCTGTAGGAGCAATAACAGCAGCGGCTGTAGCAGTGGCAGCAACTGCGGCTATAGCGGCAGCAGCAGCAGCAGCGCCTGGCAGCAACGGCGCATGGGGCAGCAACGGCGCACGAGCAGCAGCGGCACGCGAGCAGCGGCTGCGCCAGGTAGCAGGGGCACATAGGGCAGTGACGGCATGCGGACAGTGGCGGGGTGCCTCAGCAGCAACGCCCGGGCAGCGGGACAGCATGGGCAGGGGCAGCGGAGGCGCGCGTGGGGCAACGCAAGGAGCTGCGTGCTATGCACGGAGCAGCGTGTGGCGCGCACGACAGCACGGGGAGCGCGGGGCAACGCGCAAGCGCGTGAAAGTACGGCAATAGGTACGGCGCACGCATGGGAATGGGGGCGTGCATGCGGTAGTGCGAGGAGCAGCGCAAGGAGTAGAGCGATAGGCAGCGTAGGGCAGCGCGCTAGGGGCAGCGTGGGTCAGCGTGCACATGGAGCAGTATGGGGCAATGGGTACGGCAGTAAGTACGGCAATAGGTACGGCAGTCGGTACAGCATCAGGACCTAACCTAGCCTCGGATACCATGTTAAGAAGATAGGGAATAGGAATGACTAGTATGAAACCCTAAAGGGGTTGTACCCTATACAGTCTACCCCACTGTAGCCTACAGTAACTACGATAGGTAATTTGACATGTTCAATTTTCGTGCTTCCTAACAGCATATCCTACTATCTGTCCCTTGCAGCGCACAGAGCATTGCATGCCTCTGCAGGCGATAGAGAACCTGCACTGGACATCCCTCTCGCTCCCCCTTTAATGTACCGTAGAACTTACAGAGCAAGCACCCAGCTTTCACACGCATGTCCTAAGTGTTTTAGACGACTCGGTGTTTTGTGTCGTTCTTTTTGTTGCTTACAGCACCACTTTTCACGCATACACTGTAAACCAGGATCCAATTAAATCAATGTCGTAAGGTTACAAGTACATGCACAAAGTTTGTGATTGTACTTACAGGGGCAATCTCAGAACAAGCAATGTACAATGAGCCAACACGTGCAACAAGCTACAGCTTATATGCGATGTAGAGGAAAAGCGACGGTGCTGGTGGGTGACATGGAGTACAGGCGACCGTAAGGGCATGCAACAGGTCGTGATTGCTGGACGGACATCTATGTATGCGTAGCGCGGCGCGACACTAGCGTGTGGGGTTGTTGGGCGGACCAGACCAGTCATTGGCAGCACACCCCAGCAGCACACTCCAGCAGCACCACGTCCGCCTCTGCAGCACAAATCTGCCCGTCGCTGTCCGCGCCCCTAGACGCAGGTGCTCTGTTACAAAACACTACTAACAAAGACAGGTGTTGGAACCTAAGAGTTGCTGCCACGTTTCGACCCAATGGCACCTAACTGGTGTTCACTCGAGCAGCACCACGTCTGCCTCACGTCCGCCTCTGCAGCACAAATCTGCCTGTCGCTGTCCGCGAACAGAGATATGAGTCGGCTCAAAACTCGACTTGTCACAATTCTGCCCGTCGCTGTCCCCGAACAGCGCCCCTAGAGCTCCCCGGTGCACAAGTGCGGCGCGGATGTGGAGGTGCCACGGGGCTGATCCCGGTGTGGAGACACCTGAGGGGATGGTGGCACGGATGGATGGGGAGAGGAGGCATGAGAAGAGGAGTGAGTGGTGAGGGGAGGGGATGGGGAGTGGAGGGGATAGGGGGAGGAACGGATAAGAAGAGGAGGGGACTGGGAGAGGACGGGACTGGGAGAAGAGCGGGCGGAGAGAGGAGGGGAGAGAATAGGAGGGGACCAGGAGAGGAGGGATGGCGAAGGAAGGATGGGGAGAGGATGGATGGGGAATGAATTGATGGGGAGATGAGGGATGGGGAACGGATGGGGAGACGAGGGATGGGGAACGGATGGGGAGACGAGGGATGGGGAACGGATGGGGAGACGAGGGATGGGGAACGGATGGGGAGACGAGGGATGGGGAATGGATGGGGAGACGAGGGATGGGGAACGGATGGGGAGACGAGGGATGGGGAATGGATGGGGAGACGAGGGATGGGGAATGGATGGGGAGACGAGGGATGGGGAATGGATGGGGAGACGAGGGATGGGGAACGGATGGGGAGACGAGGGATGGGGAACGGATGGGGAGACGAGGGATGGGGAACGGATGGGGAGACGAGGGATGGGGAACGGATGGGGAGACGAGGGATGGGGAACGGATGGGGAGACGAGGGATGGGGAACGGATGGGGAGACGAGGGATGGGGAATGGATGGGGAGACGAGGGATGGGGAATGGATGGGGAGACGAGGGATGGGGAATGGATGGGGAGACGAGGGATGGTGTGGAGGATGGATCCGCCGGTCCCACCCTGAGCACGTTAGAGAGTGTGGGGTGTGGGGCAGCGGGAGGATGGGGAGGTGCAAGGCGCGGGCGAGGAGCTAAGGGGCAGATGGCCAAAGTGCAGGGTAGTGCACTGCGGGAGAAGTCAGACGCGGTGTCGACAGCCCTAGAGGGGTGAGAGAGAGGTGAGAGAGGGATGAGAGAGGGGTGAGAGAGGGGTGAGAGAGGGGTGAGAGAGGGGTGAGAGAGGGGTGAGAGAGGGGTGAGAGAGGGGTGAGAGAGGGGTGAGAGAGGGGTGAGAGAGGGGTGAGAGAGGGGTGAGAGAGGGGTGAGAGAGGGGTGAGAGAGGGGTGAGAGAGGGGTGAGAGAGGGGTGAGAGCGACGGTGTAGGGGGGAGAAGTGAGAGCTTCCCAAAGTAGCGCACTCGAGAGGAAGGGCGGCACGGCGAACGGGATGAAAGGAGGAGGGGAGGGTGGAACAGAGGAAGGGAGCAAGTCGTGTAATGGGCGAGGTAGTAAGGAAGGTAAAGTGCGTGACGGCAGGAGAGAGGAAAGAGTGACGGGACGATGTGGCAGAAGAAGAGAGGATAGAAGTAGGGGAGCGAACAAGGGAGGAGAAGTGGAAGGGCGAAAGTGAGAACGGGAGGAAGGAAGGATGGGAGGCCGGGAGGATACGGGAAAAGGAGGAAGGGTGGCAGAGACATGGGGAAGCGATAGAAGGGCTTATGGGAGAATTGGTTGGAAGGAGCAAGGGATGAAGGGAGAGCGGGTGGAAGGGAGGTAGAGAGAAGGGGAGGAAGTGATTGATGGAGGAGCGGAAGAAGGGAGGTGGGGAGGAAGGGAGGATGGGGGGAAGGAGGCGGGGGAGAAAAGGGATGGAAGAGGAATGAGAGGGGAATCGAGAGGGAATATTTGACAGAGAGGAGAGACGACGGGAAGAGACGACGGGAAGAGACGACGGGGAGACGACAGGGCGCAGATGCGATGGGGAGATGCGACAGGGAGGAGAGACGACGGGGAGAGAGACGAGGAGGAGGAGAGACGAGGAGGAGGAGAGACGAGGACGAGGAGACGACGGGGCTACGGAACGACGGTGACGCAAAACGCGATACGATAGATAGTCTATGGGGGGCGGAGATGCGACAGGGAGGAGATGCGACGAGGATATGCGAGATGCGACGAGGATGAGATGCAACGAGGAGATGCGACGGGGAGGAGATGCGACGAGGAGATGCGACGGGGAGGAGATGTGACAGGGAGATGCGACGGGGAGATGCGATGGGAGGAGATGCGACGGGAGGAGATGCGACGGGGAGGAGATGCGGTGGGGAGGAGATGCGAAGGGGAGATGCGACAGGGAGATGCGATGGGAGGAGATGCGGCGGGGAGGAGATGCGACGGGGAGATGCGACGAGAGGAGATGCGACGGGGAGGAGTTGCGACAGGGAGATACGACGGGGAGATGCGATGGGAAGATGCAATGGGGAGATGCGACGGGAGGAGATACGAGAGAGATGCGACGGGGAGATGCGACGCGGAGATGCGACGGGGAGATGCAGCGGGGACTTCACGCGCATGTTATCGTGCACACGCGGGAGGGGAGAGATTGACGACGCGGTGGGTATTTCGAATTCGATAATACGATACAGAAAGTGACGGGAAGGAGGGTTTGAAATGAAATCGCATTACGCGCATGACATTGGGAGCGGTAAACGCTTTACTCCTGCGATTGACGAGCTATTGAGATCTTTTCGCGATTTTCGTGCTTGCTAGGCCCTATCGGCCCCCCGGATAGCACCGCGAGAGAACTAGCAGACACCTCGATGGTCGGTCGTACCCTAAAAGGGTAAGGAAGCGTCAACTCTAGCAAAATTTGGCGATCGATCCTGCGCAGGATCGATTTGTTACTGGGTTGAAAGAGGTTCTAAAAAGTTCTGGATGCAATTGCGGGATTTTAGTGCGGTGGACGATCGATATTGCACGATTAATCGCTGTTTTTTGTAGGAGTTGACGCGTCCTAAGTATCTCGCTAAAGTTGGCCCTAGCTGAACCCAAGCAGTTTCTTCCTGTGGACTTCATCTCGCTACAGTGTGTGCTTCCCTCGTTTTCCCGAAACCCACTAGGGCACATCGGGTAACCATCCAAGTGTAGGTGCACAGAGCACACACTAGGGTGTACAGTACATAGCAAAATTGTGATCCTTTCTCTTGAAGGCAATAGGTAATACGAATTTGATGCGGTGGTGACAGCGAAGGAATTGCGAACACGCGACTTCATCTCGCTACAGTTTGTGCTTCCCTCGTTTTCCCGAAACACAGCAGGGCTAATTGGGTTACCATCCAGGCGCGACTACACACATTGGGTGCACATGTACTGAAAATGCGATCCTTCTCATGTCGTGGTGATATCGAATTGCGAACACGCGCAACTTATGTCACGTTCTGTCGGGTCGAGATACCCTATTGACATGCCAAGCAGCCCAATGTCGGCAGGCTCTGTCAATAAGCGAATGCAAAGTTGTAACCAACGAACCTCGCCAACCCATGCGGGGCCGCAAGGGGGGACTGGCGCAAACTAGCGTCGCATGTTGAGCTTTTGCCGTCGATCGCAGCCAACAGAAACCCGCAGTTGCTGCTTCACGAGCAGGCAAGGGGCAAGAGGCGTCAAGACTCGCCGCCGAGCCTTGGAGCCACGTCAGGCCAAACATGGCGCTCAGCTACATTCCCCCATGCAGACAGGTTTGTGGGAAACCTCTACCTTGTCTATACGCTTTTTGCACAGATATTACGCGACTTTCTCAGTTGCTATCCCCTCAAGCACCCCCACAACAAGCATCCAACACATCCAACCCTCCAACGCACACTCCCAAACACCCCTTTTCAGAACCCATCCATTCCAGTATAGAGCCAGTTCCTCAGCTCCCAATTATGGCGCCCACAGAAGTGGAACAGTCTCCTTTTGAGCGCATGTTCGACCTAGAAACCATCCCAGAATCTCCCGAATCCGGCGACATGAACGTTGCATTTGACTCCTTTCTCAACCTCCCCTGGACCAGCGCTCGATACCTTAGTAAGCCCGGCGGAAGGAGTGGCGAGAAGAGCGATGAGGCGAATGCGGGCAATGGGCCCAGCGCGCGGTGCGGAAGCAGTTGCTCGAGGCGCATATGCAAGCACTCGCTGACTCAACCGCGGCCGACACCGCCGCCGCCGCCGGCGAGCCGCCTTCCTCACTGGAATCCCTTGATGAGGGAGAGTTCCTCTCATCCGTTGCGCAGGCAGTAGGGTCGCGGAAGCGCAAGGCGGCGGAGATCGAGGAGGTCCCCTCCGCGGATGCGCCTGTCGAGGGCAGAAGCGAGGAGTCGGAGGTGACATGTCAGCTGCGCCGTGCGATTGCTTCTGTCATCCTCCGCGGCAGCGGGGCTCGCGAACCATGCCCCGCACCGGGCAATGCTTCTCCCGACGTTCCCTCGCCTCCCGTGGCTGCGCCGTTGCCAATCGCTACCATTCTTCTCACCAACCACGCCGAAAGGACGCTCGCCCATGGCCCGCTGCCAATGCCCTTTCGCCTGCCCATCGCCAATGGTGCGGCTCTTGCTGCACCTTCCGCTGCGCCTGCGTCACTAGCTACCGTGCCATAATCAGCTGCTTGCATCAACTACTTAGACAACTCAGGCGATGACATGGCCGGTTACGGCGGAAGTCCTGGATGTGGCAGAGGTGTCAATGGGGCAGCGGATCATTTTTTTTTTTTTTTTGAAGGATGCATTACACTTATAAAAGCGGTTACATCCACAGTCGTAACTAGAATGGGGGAAGGGACCTGGGAGACAATGAGTCAGCACTGCCCTTCCGGTAGCTTCCTATGGTGGTTGAAAGGCCGTTCTCGGGTTGGACCACACCGATCTAAAGCTATCCTTCGACGTCAGCGTGCCATCGTCTTCGAAAATCCGGCTCAGCATTACAGCCTCGTCTCGCTCCAGATAGGCCCAGCTCTGCACCTCTCCTTGGTTGACGTGTTTCGCCACGTGCCTCTTGTGTGCGCTGTAGATTCTGACGTGCTTCATGAAATTCACGCCAATTTTCCTGAGCACCCTCTGTGGCTGAAACGTGTCCTGCCGAAAAGCCGCCTCACATCTCTCCAGCCAGACTTGATGGAAAGCCACTGCTATCAGCGGTTTTTCCGGGAAACCTGACTTTGTGCCATCCTCTGAAAACAGGAAGTCCTCCAGCCGTCCCACCTCCTGTTTTGGATTCATCTGCTTCAAAGCCCCCTTCAGCGCGCCAATGACAGGCTGTATCTTGCCACACTCCAGCAAACAGTGCGCAATGGTCTCCTCCTCCATGCAGTGCAGATCCTTCATGAACTGCAGCCTGTCCCCCACCTGCAGATTTTTACAGTGTATTCTCAGAATGATTTCCCTTGCTCTGCCCGGCGTGACCAAAGTGTCTCGCTTCCGAATCTCGCCTTTCCAGTCAATCGGCTTCTCATACTCGTGTTCCCATTTTTTCTGTTGCTTTGGCTGCACCACCGGACCTTTCAGCTCTGCCCTCAGCTTCCTCAGTGAAGCCCCTTTCCCCTTCTCGCAAAGCACTGATACTCTGAGCCTCGTAAGCGGGCGGCCGACTTCCCCCACTAACACTGTCAAACTTATATGCTATAGTCTGTGTAGGCTGTAGTGGGGTAGACTATATGGGGTACAACACTTCTAGGTTTTCCTACTTGTACCCACCTCTTTCCTAGTTCATTCATTCCTCATTTCTTCACATGGTATAGAGCAGGTTCCCTAGTGGGAACGCTTCCTTGGGCCCACCACTGAAATTTTTCTTTCTGACCGGAGCGCCAGTCGCTCCTGCCCGAGGCGCGCCTTGTGGGCCGCCCTTCTGTCGAGCTCTCTTAGAGGCCCCTCTCACGGCCCCTCGTGCCGCCCCTAGCGGCCCCGTCGCCGCCCTTCCAGGCCCTCGCGGCCCTTAGCGGCCCCGTCGCCGCCCCTACGCGGCCCCGTCGCCGCCCCTAGCGGCCCCGTCGCCGCCCCTAGCGGCCCCGTCGCCGCCTCTCTCCCTACGCGGCCCCGTAGCCGCCCCTACGCGGCCCCGTCGCTGCCCCTACGCGGCCCCGTCGCCGCCCCTAGCGGCCTCGTCGCAGCCCCTAGCGGCCCCGTGGCCGCCTCTCTCCCTACGCGGCCCCGTCGCCGCCCCTACGCGGCCCCGTCGCCGCCCCTACGCGGCCCCGTCGCCGCCCCTAGCAGCCCCGTCGCCGCTCCCCTCCCTACGCGGCCCCGTCGCCGCCACTACGCGGCCTCGTCGCCGCCCCTACGCGGCCCCGTCGCCGCCCCTACGCGGCCCCGTAGCCGCCCCTAGCGGCCCCGTCGCCGCTCCCCTCCCTACGCGGCCCCGTCGCCGCCCCTAGCGGCCCCATCGCCGCCTCTACCGGCCCCGTCGCCGCCTCTACCGGCCCCTTCACCGCTGAGCTGCCCAGCAGCTGAGCAGCCGAGCCACCAAGCCGCCGAGCCGCCCAGCAGCTGAGCCGCCCAACAGCCGAGCCGCCGAGCCGCCCAGCAGCCGAGCCGCCGAGCCGCCGAGCCGCCCAGCAACCGAGCCGCCGAGCCGCCCGACAGCCGAGCCACCCAACAGCCGAGCCGCCGAGCCGCCCAGCAGCCGAGCCGCCGAGCCGCCCAGCAGCCGAGCCGCCGAGCCGCCCTGCCGTCGAGCCGCTACTGTTCTCACCGGCGCGCCCCGACCCTACTTACTCGGACTGGTGAGATCACTCCCTGCTAGGCCACTGCAGTCATGGCTACCCCCAGTGTCCTTACCTTTGATGCTGAGGGTCGTGCTGTTGACTTTGAGGTCTGGGTCGATGACCTCCAGCTGTTCCTACAGTGCGATAGGGCAGACGGACTCTCCCTGTTCGATCTCACCTCTGGTGCCTCTCCTGCCCCGCCTGCTACTGCTGACAGCACTGTTCGCTCACAGTGGGCCACACGCGATGCTGCTGCCAGGGCTGACGTTTCATTTTAAGCCTCCCTGATTCCGGGGAAAATTTTCCCCCTCTATTATGGGTGCACATTTTCCAGAAAAGCAGTACCCTGATTGCTCAGGGTTGTAAAGTAGCTAACTCTGATTGTTCAGGGTCAAGAACTGAACATCAGAGTAGTAACGCGCGCTTTGTTACCGGGGAGAAAATCCCCACCATCCATAAAGTCTGCGCGCTGTGTTTCCCGCTGACTGTACACTCGATTGATTTGTGCAGGGCGGGTGTGATTGACCTATCTGGTGTGCGAGTGTAACATTTCCCTGTCTTACCATGCCCAATCGGATCTCTTCAGATGGCATGCATCAGACACGCTGCGATTGTAGTTAGTCACCCTCAGAGGCGTTCCTTCTGGAGCGAGTGTAACGACCGAACGGGCGAGTCACACCTGTTCGAGTCAAAAATTTCCGCTGTCAGAGCCTATTTCGACCAATCCCAGCAAAGTATATCTGACATCGCAGATTAGCGCAATCTCGATGGTAGGTGTATCAGAACGAAGTTTCGAAGAAACTTCTTCTCGATAAAGCGGGAAGGGGGGGGATTACGCACATGTGGGGGGATCACTGCGATCAATCCAAGGCGGGGTCATCGGAGGGAAACTTCCGAGAAACTTCCTCTCGATAAGTCAGGGTCCACAGAGTCGATACTCTGTTAAGTCAGGGTCCACTAACAGCCTAGTCTGTTACAATGTACTCAAAATCAGGGATAGCTAAACTATTACTCTGATTGGATCAGGGCTGAAAATTCATTAACTCTGAAATTTCAGTCTCCACGAAGTGGAAAGCCTGGAATCACCCTGAAATCAGGGTAATTACCCTGATAAAATCAGCCCTGGCTGCTGTCCGTCTTGCTGTGCGTCGCCACTTACCGACCACTGAGCGTGCGCACTTTAGCCAGTACAAGAGTGCTAAGACCTTGTACGACGTTGTAGTTGCACGCTACTCTTCCCCTGCCACTGCTGCTCTTAGCCGCCTCATGCTGCCGTACCTGTTCCCTGACCTTGCTGCCTTTCCCACAGTCGCTGACCTCATTACGCACCTTCGCACTAGCGACACTCGCTACCGCGCTGCGCTTCCTGCTGAGTTCTGTGCCAAGAACCACCCCCCCCATGTACATCACCCTCTACTACATAGTCACCCGGCTCCCTGACTCCCTTCGCTTAGTCAGGGACCACTTCCTCTCAGTTTGCCCCACCACACTCACCGTTGACCTCCTCGAGGAGCGCCTCCTAGCAGCAGAGAAGAGCATAGTCGCTGTAGGAGCCTCTCGTGGTGACCCTCGCACCCCCGTCTTTGAGGGGTGTTCCCCCTCCCCCCTCTTGCCCTCTGTTGCTTCTGCTGCTGCGGCCGACCTCGTTGGTTTCGAGTCGGTCGGCGCTGCGTCTGCCCCTAGCGGGAGACGCCGCACCGGCAAGGGCAAAGGGGGCAAGGGCGCTGGAGGGGCTGGCGGGGGCGGTGGAGGTGGTGGTGGAGGCAGTGGAGGGGGTGGGGGTGGTGGTGGGAGTGGTGGCGGGGGTGGAGGTGTCGGTGGCAGCAGTGGAGGCGGAGGAGGCGGCGGCGGTGGCGGAGGGAGCGGAGGCGGCGGAGGTGGCGGAGGCGGCGGAGGTGGCGGAGGCGGCGGAGGTGGCGGAGGCGGCGGCGGCAGCGGTGGAGCTGGTCGCGGCTCTGCGCAGAGGAGTGGGTCCGGTGGTGGTCCGTGCCAGCAGCAGCAGCGCAGTCGTGAGACCCTGTCCCCTCAGCAGCTTCGTGAGTGGTACGCTGCGCGTCAGCGCGGTGGAGGTACTGGTCCCTGCACCTACGTCCTCCGTACCGGCGACCGCGCTGGTGAGCAGTGCGGGGGCCCGCACTCCACCCAGCGGTGCTTCGGCCGCCTGACGGACGCGTGGCGTCACCAGTTCCCTGACGCCACTGAGATCCCTCGCTGGGGAGAGCTGTCTAGGGCGGGGGTTGCTATCTTTGATCTTGATTATGATGCTATTCTTGCTGCCATGTATGCTGTGTCTGATAGTGCTGAGGGTGACTGTTACCTGTGTGTTCCGCCTGACCCGGGCATTGAGGCTGCTGCTCTAGGTGCTGGTGAGGCTGCTGCTCTAGGTGCTAGTGCGTCTGCTGTCCCAGGTGCTGGTGAGTCTGCTCTCTCAGGTACCACGTCGGCTCAGGCCTTACACACCTTCACCCTTGACTCGGGTGCTTCCCGCTCCTTCTTTCGAGACCGCACCACGCTTACGCCGCTTAGTCGGCCGGTTGCGGTCTCCCTGGCGGACCCCTCTGGGGGTCCTGTCCTTGCTAGCTTCTCCACTGTCTTACTGTGCCTGGCAGCCCCCTCTGGCACCCTGTCAGGTCTCTACCTCCCCTCGTTCTCTATGAACTTGGTGAGTGGAGCTGATCTACAGGATAGGGGGGTTGACCAGTTCACTCCTGCGAGTCAGCGGGTGACCCACTGCACGTGTGCTCGGACGGGCCGACACTTGGCCACGTTCACCCGTCGGCCGGGGTCGAGCCTGTACACACTGACTACTGAGTCTCCTCCGGCTGCTGAGTCTGGTCAGGTAGCTGCGTCGAGTCAGGTGTTTGCTGCAGCGTCCAGGTCTGGTCCTGAGTCTGCGCCCTGCTCGTGTCGTCTCC